GTCAGACCAGAGAAGGTCACACATGGGCCCGTCATGAGGCACCTCCTGCTTTCGGTCAATCGTCCGGATCTGGTCCAGGGTCTGGATGGAGGGGGAGAGGCCCCCGTGTACACAGAAGATCTAGGAGAGCAAGGCCAGACTAAGGGAGGCAGAGGCCCAGAGCCTTCACATTGCTCCACCCTGGAAGTCCCATGGCCACCCTACCTTGCCGTCAATGATGGCCGAGAGGCTGAGGTAGTCAAAGATCTCAGTGCAGTAGCGCCACACAGTCACCGAGCCGTATTTGCGCAGGCATTCGTCATAGAACCCATAGACTTGGGTAATCTGGCGGCTTTCGTGGTTGCCCCGGATCAGGGTGATACGGTCGGGATAGCGAACCTGGGGGTCACCGAGCCAGCGCTGGGGGCTGAGCTGTCTCATCTGTTCCCCTCCCAAACCCCTACACATCTACTGGCCTCCCTGTCCCTGTAACTGCTGCCCCAGCCCAGACTCACTACCTGCTGCTCGAATCCAGCTGTGCCCAGTGCCTCCAGAGGAAGCATACCTTGCCCCCAACCCTTAACTACAAAACCAGCAGCCCCTTTCACCTGTCAGACACAAAGTCCTCAGACATTCAGGGCCCTCTCCAACCCTTTCCACCCCTGCACACTGTATCCAGTAGTCCCCACAGCTGCCCTTCCTGAATACAGCAAGTCTCTCTGTACCCTCTGGCAGGACCCGCCCCATTGACCTCTATTCCCATCTCTAGGCCCAGGCACTGATCTCTGTAGCACAGCTCCAAGGCAAATGTCAGAGGCGGGTGGTGAGGATGACGGCAGGCCTCAGTGGCCCAGGGCCAGGCTCCAGAGGCCAGTTGTTCCCACCTTCAATGCCAGCAGCAGGAGGAAGGTTTCAACACTGTAGAAACCACGGTCTACAAAGTCCCCCATGAAGAGGTAGTTGGTCTCAGGGACATCGCCACCCACCTGTGGGAGGGAGAAGGTTCTGCTTGGTCTTGAACAGCCCTCTTCCCGCAGCAGCTGCTCATGTTCTCATTGAGCAGAGACCTTTCTTTCACAAAGCCCCACCCAACCAGAGGCCTCTTGCCCGCTCCGCACCCACTGAGTGGGTCTCCCAGTCACCCTGGGTCATGTCTACCTCCAGTGCTTCCCACACTCACTCTGAACAACTCCTTGAGGTCATAGAACTGTCCATGGATGTCACCACACACCTGGGAAACCGAAAGGTGGGTTGGCATTTCACAGCAAAGGGATACTCGCTTTACCTCACCAGTGGCTTTCAGAGCCTCATGGTCCACTCCGCTGCTGTGTCTTTGGTGCAAATCTACCCACAACTCAAGGTAGTCTGCTCTGGCACCACCCACCATCCACACTGACAGCTAAAGCGAAACCCTTCCAGAGACTGACAGCTCTTGGGGGACCCAGCCCCTCTCTCCCTGCTGCCCTCAGGGTACCCAGAATAGTTACCGCAGATGGGGGAAAGAGAAGTGGACATGTGGGTACTGAGGGGAAATGCCCACGGCTGAGAGGCCATGCCAGGCTCTGTGGGCGGACGGTACTCACTGTGACTGGCGAGTCAACCCTCTGCACGTTACTCTCTTCTACCAAGATCTCTCTGGAGACAGAAGAGCAGGGTCACTACAGCCAGCCCAGCCCAGCCCAGTTTCTGACTTTTTTTGAGGGTGAGGGGAGGACATGAGGTGCTTGAACCTTCAGGGGCAGAAGGGAGGGTGTAATCTCCCTAGGATTGGCTGACCATGGCCCTCCACCACTCATACCCTAACATAGCTTCCTACTGCTCACAGGACAACTCCCAGCCCTTCTCAGCGGCTGTGACTCTTTCAGCCTTAACTCTCCTTGCTGTCCCCTCTGCCTCTGGCACTCTTCACTCCACAACACAGCCCAGGCCCCTACTGTCCCTTGGCTGAGCTCTGACACCACTCTACAGCCACAGGGTCCTTCTGTTCAGCCGCAACTTCTGAACAGCCGCAACTGTTCAAAGGCAGGGGTGAAGGGCCTGGGCAGACCAACCCCAGAGAGCACCTTCAAAGGAATGAAGCACTTTCAACATTAACATGTTGCCGCTGGCTTGAACCACTGGTGGTACCAAGGAATTGAATCAATCTTTATTTATTTGTTTTTGTACCGGGGATAGAACTTGGGACCTTGTGCTTGCAAAGCAGGAGGGAGCACCACTGAGCTAAACCCCCAGACCCGGGTTTTGTGTTTTTTTTTTTTTTTTTTTTTTTTTTTTTTTTTGAGACAGGGTTCTCACTATGTAGTTCAGGCTAGCTTCAAACTCACAGCAATCCTCCTGCCTCAGCTTCCTGAGTGCTGGGTTTACAGGTGTGCACCACCATGCCTGGTTTCTAATCACTTTTACTGGTCTTTTTACTCATAAAATTAGTACAGCTTGCGCGAAGGGACAGTCAAGCATATACCTATGGTTCAAGCTGGTGGGAATATAACATGTTCAAATCAGAGCAGTGAGACACACGGAGTACATCCTGTGGTGAACATATTACAGACAGCAAGGGGCTGGGGATGTGGCTCAAGAGATAGCGAGGACTACTTTTTTTTCTGTGAGGTAGCCTCACATGTGTGAGTGAGCATGAGATGAATCAGTGGGCCAGTGATAGGCACCCGATTTAAGCAGGACTGCATGTCCACATCTGCCCAATGGTTAGTGCAGCAGTCAACACTGGTGGTCAGCCCATGTGTCACAACTGTGAGGAGCTTGGCACGGACAGTTGCAGCTGAACAGCCACCCTCAACAGCAGCAATTTCAAAGTCCCCTGAAGGCAGATGCAGAGGAGGTTATTTATTGGTTTGGCCACTGTCATAAAAGTTGCTTTGAACCAGGGTAGCCTGGCTCCAGGGTCTGACGCTTTCTTTTGACTCTTTATCAAGCTACTCAAGATGGAAGAGCAACCCAGGCCCCTCCTCACCCTTCCTTCTTTCTGCCTATCTCCTCCCTGTAGACTAAGTTCCATGAACTCAAGAGGTAAGGGGCTTCATTTACGTCTCTCAAGGTATTTTCTATGACAAAGGAACACAGGGGAGGTGTGTCTTAGCTTCCTGGAACAGGAAGAGGCACCAGTGGTGATCCAGGATGTCAGAACAGCAACTAGGCTCTGCCACCTGTACTACTTTTCTTGGGGTGACATCCTTCCACCTCAACTACTTATCATGATCTTCACAACAGACATGGGAGAGTCTGTTCACTCTTACCTAACACATAAAGAAATTGAGGCTTAGGGGAAAGTGGCAGATAGCTGGAAAGTGGCCGAACTAGAACTTGGGAGTCTAAAAAAAAAAGAACCTCAGAGCAGGGATGTAGCTCACAGCAGACAAAGGGATACTCGCTTTACCTCACCAGCAGCTTTCAGAGCCTCATGGTCAGCTCCGCTGTACCATGCCTGCCTGACAAGTACAAGTTCCCAAGTTCCATCCCCAGTACCCGCCCCCCACAAAGAACTTGAAACTTCAGGTTCCTGAGTTGATTCCAGTCCTTTTCACAGGCCCTGAGGCAAAACCTAAAACTCAGTAAGGCCAGACAGGGCCCTCCCTCTTTCCAAAACCCCACTTCAATGCCAGCATGGCCACATGTGGTCTGCTCCCACTGGTCTCAGGGCCTCCACGCCTCTTCCCACCCTGCTTGCAATGCCCTTCCTCACTGGTCCTGGCCCCCGTAGCTAACCAAATTATCTTCATCCTTCACTCTCTCAGCAGCCTTTCTTGATGGCTTTAGCCCACATTATCATCACCCTTCCTAAAAAGTAACAACATCACCATCACCAGCTAATGACTGTCAAACATACTTCGCCAATGCACTAAGCTAATAAGTTCACCTCAGGCACCAATTCACTGAATGAATTTTCACAATCACCTAAATACAATTACCTTCACTCTACAAAAACAGAAATGTGAGTACCGCGCACCGACACAGCAGAGTTCAGATTCAAACCCAGTCAACACATTCCAAAACCTGGACTCTTAACCATGACATCATCCTACTTTCTACAGCACTCTGAGTTGGGTCTCCCTCTACATTGTGCTTAATTCCACTCTGGCTCATTTACTATGATTTCTTAGGTTCTCTCACCCACACAGATCATGAGTGATCCAACACCACGTTCTTGTGTTATGGCCTGGAAAAGGTCAGTACATGAAGAAATGGCTTCAGACTTGCTGGTAACTGACCATATAAAACGGCTACAAACCATCTCCCTTTAAGAGTTGTTGGGAGTTAAGACAATTTTCAGAAGCACTAAATCTGCTTTCCTCCTCAGACTTTTGTTCTTGCAGACATTCCTTTTACCACCTCCTTGTTCTTCACCTCCTATCCAAGAAGCCTTCCCGTCATCCCTCTCCCTACAGATGGGCTTATTTCCCTGAGTTCCCTAAGTACTTTCTGTAACACTCTTGCTCCACTGGAAACACAGCTAAGATTCTTAAAGCGTCTCTACCTACGTACGTCTTTCCCAACAGAAGTGTTTCCGGAGGGCAGCGGCCCGATTCTGCTCCTCCCCGGGAACGCTTCCAAGATGGAGCAAGCCCAAATTCTCAGCTGGATTTGCCCCAGGCCAGAACCCCTGGGCGGCGGCCTGGCCTCCCTCCCCGGGGCCCCCGGGCTCACCTGGCCTTAGCACACAGGGCCTTGACTTCGCTCTCTTTGATGAGCTCGCAGCGCCGCAGCTGCTCTATTTGCCGGTCCAGGTCGCTGATCTCCGCCATGGCCCAGCCCCCCCCGCGCGGGTCAGAGTTGGGGCCCCCGCCCCCTCCTCACCGCACAGGGGTCTCCTGGGAAAGATGAAGATGAGCCCTTGGTTCAGCGTCGGCGCGGGGCGCAGAGGGGAAACAAGATTCTGGGGCTGGCCTCCCCACTCCCTCCACACAGACCTCGAGACCCCAGCGTCCCACCGCCCTGGCCGAACCACTCGCTAACTCCCGTTGGACCCTGAGGCCCCGCGCTAAGGACAGTGGCCAAGAAGGGTTTCAGGCTATTACCGCCGCAGCGACTCTGGCTTAAGCTCTCGGACTCTCTTCCTCCCTCCTTCACTCCGCTTTGGGCCGCCGCCACCGCCGCTTCTACTTCCGGCGCCGCCGAGGAAGCCGAGGAGGCCAGTTCCGCCGCGCGCAGGATATGACGTCACAAACGTCCCTGCCCCTCCCTAGACTCCGCCTCCACAGGCTGCGGAGGCGCGCCGGGAAGGAGAGGTGTCAACGACTTACCCGAAGGAGTTAGGCTGCGGCGACCCCGTGGGTTCCCTGAGGGCTGCTGGAGACCCGGAATAGGCCGTTTCAGTCTGGGAAACAAACTGACGCTGAGCTCCGGCGAGGCTTTCACTTCGTGTTAGTTCTTTTTCGTGTGTACCGATTTTAGTGTTTCTCCCTCGCTACAATTGTTTTTTTTTTTTTTTTTTTTTTTTTTTT